CTTTGAATGGGAAATTAAGGTAAATTCTTCAGAATACTAAAATGCAGTTACATTTTTAAGAAGGGTTTTTACATTCAATTTTATTCTAGCTTTGCGGGGAAAAAAATAGCTGTTCAGTTTGCCCACACTTCTCAGGCGCGGGTGTTAGATTGTTTTGCCTTTTTTTAATTTAAGCAGCCCCTTTATAATCAGTGAGATGCAATCATAAAATCAATAAATCATAGTTGAGTGGTATCGCCTAATATGATTTGTTCTCCATTGCTTGCAAAATGAGATTTTTGTGCAGATACAAATTATGTAGGTTGCAGTTTGTCTTCCTTTGGATAATTCTGGGGTTCTTTGTGATGATTGTAACATTTTTCGACCCTTTTTTCGATGGATTTTCCAAAAAGACGCTAATTTCTCCTCACCAAAAAGTAAAGGATAATTCCGATTTGGATGAAATAATAGATTCTCGAGACCAGATGGAACTTGGTGGATTTTCTTCTCTAAGTTTGTTGAAAGAAGATCAGCTTATAATTGTTCCCTCGAAAGTGAAAAGAAAACAAAATCCTCAAAAAAAAGCTAATTATAAGATGTTGAGGTCTGGAGGTAAAAAGGATGCAAGGCTTTTAGTATCCACTCACAGTCATCTTGGAAAACCTGTGCATCTTATCCTAAACCAATTTGAAAAGGACATTGAAGAGTCGGGACTAAAGAAACACGGTTTTAATGAGTTAGCGAGTAAGCGAATCTCACTTCATAGAAGGCTACCGGAGGTGCGACATCCTTCGTAAGTATTCCTGAACACCTCTGAACTTTTTTTTTGCCAATAAATAATTAGGAATTAATTCTTTTTAAGTTACAGCGCAACGAAGTAAAGTACATCCAACCGATATTTCCGGATCATCCGACCAGTAGTATAGATTTCTATATCTTAGTTGCTGTTTTAAAACGTTTTAATTCTTTTTAGAGCTCAAGTTGTCTTCAGTATCATTATTAACATACCAAATCCCCGTCATTGTTGTTACTTGGCTGATGATATTATATACAATAATATGTATGTTTGTAGTAAAATCTGATTTCGAGAAAGCATATTTATTTTCAGTTAAATAATAAGTCTGATGTATTTCACTGAAAGCAATAACCATTTTTTATTTGTATCTAAATATAGGATACAAGTGTGTAGTACTAGTACGCTATCACTTCAATGCTTTACGCATAATTTTCCCTTAAGCATCCATAATTTATATACTGTTCATCGTTTACAGTTTAAGAAGAAAGAAGCACAATTTTACAAATAAGTTCAGTTTTGGACAAAAGGGTTCAGTAATCATTGCTTTCCATGCAAACCGGTGGGATCTCGAATTGCCCAACGTTCAAGACTAATCAGGCTGACCTGCATGTCTTAATGTTGAAACTTAACGAACTTAAGTTACGACTTTTAACTCGTTTGGTTGCTAGTAGCTGACTGATCTAAGGATCTCAGGCTGCTGTTTTCGTAATATCAGGTTATTAGCTTCCACAACTTGTATGATAAACTTGCTCTGTATAACCAAAACCCTTATATAAAATTATATCCTGTTCTCATTCCTAGATGCATTTCCCTGTGCTACCTGCCTGCACAGAATCCCTTCTAACCTGAAGATATCCCTAAACTCAAGCCTAGTCAAACTTCAATACCTCCATAACTGGAGGGTTTTTTGTCCACATTTGCATTATTTTCGATGCAGCAGTAGAAATCCAGGTTTATGGCTACCACAGTTTGGATAATAAAGCATTTAACATTTATGTGACTTTTATTTAGAATTACCTCAGCATAAAAGCTAGGCCTTAATTCATAATCCATGTTCCTAAGGATGTTTTTGTTAATTCATTCAGAAGTCTTGCTTATAAAATTTATATATATACATTAAAATTGATTACTGACGGTATCTACATTTTCAAGAATCAGAAGCTGTGTTAAAATTCCAAGGCACAGAATTAGAATTTGGAGTATATTTTGTTCTTCACTTGAACCTTTTTCAAAATATTTTGCATTGTAGTAGAGTTTCTTCAAACTGGGCAGATTATTCAGCAGGGTACACAAATCCCATCTTTCATGTACAGTAATGGACCATTTTGCTAACTCACATACCAGTCTTTGGGAGGTAGGAGAACACCAGAAAAGCCAGATACAGAGAGACCATGCAGAATCCATACAGAAAGCCGCCCAACATCAAAATGAATGTGGACTCTGCCTTGCCACCCAATTCAAAGTGTTGTATATAATGATACAAATTAAATCATGCGTATCTCATGTTTCCTATAAACAATCTACTGTACATCTTAGAACTAGATCCATCTTAAAAAATAAAGTATCTCCTCAAAATAATTTCTTAATGTGCTATGTCAAAAAAGTATTGGTATAATTAAAAATGAAGCTTATAAATTATTTTAGCAGTAACTAAAAAGTGTTAAATGTGCTCTCATTTCATGTTTGTGTGTTTGTGGTGACAGGTGTCTCACACAGCAGTACAGTGTGCAGCTGCCTACTGCCAGTGTTATCATCTGCTTTCATAATGAGGCTTGGTCTACACTGCTGAGAACAGTACACAGTGTCCTAGACACTGTGCCTAAAACACTGCTGAAAGATGTCATTTTAGTGGATGATCTTAGTAGACAAGGTACAGTACTATGTGTCTTCATTGCACAAGACAACATTCTGCCCTTTGATTTAAAGCATACTCTGTATTTAGTAAGTAAGTTTGCTGAAACATTTGAATTCACCCTAAGTAAATATAAAACTATACAGCAGACTTTTTAAAAATAGAATCAGTTTGAAAAATTATCTCAAAAACACTTTGAATTTTGAGTGCAGTCATAGAAATTACCTTTGTATTTTTAAAGTTTGCAAATAAAATGAAAAAATAAAGAAAGGGTATTAAAGAAATTGGAAAATTATATGAGTATGGAATTATCTTGCCAATCCTGATTGTCCTGCCACTGTAAAGATTCATTTCTCTTCTTTCTGTCTTTGGTTGGGATGTTTTTGCAGGCCACCTGAAGTCATCTCTCAGTGAGCACATTGCTAAGCTGGATGGAGTAAAGCTGATAAGGAGCAATAAGCGCCTGGGGGTTACTGGAGGCCGAATGCTCGGGGCAGCAAGAGCTTCTGGAGATGTGCTTGTCTTTATGGACTCGCACTGTGAGTGTCACAAGGGCTGGCTTGAGCCACTGCTGGACAGAATAGCAGGGGACAGGTACAAGCAACCAGTCTTCTCCTTCTCATGAAAACCTTCTCTTTTCAGTAGATCTGTAATCTGTAGGAATCTATAGAATTATATTGAGTTTTTTTTTTGTTCTGTTTTCAAATATGAAATGTGTACTGTACAGAATTGATCCTTTAATCAGAAACTCACAGCCAGCAACACAGGACCTGTCAGTCCCTTGGGAAGAGAGGTTACCGAGGACTCTGTGCTCTTTTGGTGTGTGATACCTGTGGGGTTTGTGTACGTGTATGTGCTTGTGTGTGTGGAGGGGGATCAAGAAATGAAAAGTCATAGCACTGTAGTTTGTCAGTCCCACAAGCATTGATTTCAAAAGTAACGTACTGTAGTTTAAAACAATTGTTGATTTATTGATGACATTATTGCATAATTATAAAACCAATTTTCTGCATAGTAAAAAATATGAATAATAAACTAATTAAAAGTTCTGCCTGAGCATGTTCTAGCGGTGCCAGGAGGTGTGCTGTGCCGCATGTGGATTATGGACTGATCACTGGCACTCACTCGGGCATGACACAAGGAGCTTGTAATGATGGAAATCAGAAGATGCCACATAAGGCCAAAGCCATGGACACACATGAGTTTATTTTCTTAGTAACTCTAATGCAAAGCTGTTGATCTACTGTAAGTCAGGGTTTTTACATAGTTCTAAGTTTATTTTCAAAAATCATTATGTCACTTACGTTGATGTTCCCCAAACCAAAAGAAGTGGGAAACAGGGAAACAGTACAAAACAGCACAGAAACAATACAAAAAAGCATGCTTTTTTAACAAGAGATTTCAGACATTTTATGCAAAACTAGCATGTTTCTGAGCTACATCAGACAACAGTATAGTATTGTATTGTATTGTATTGTATGCTTGTGATTTCCTGTCCATTTGCTCTACATAGCATAGTGAGAGCCAGCACCATAAACTTACTTCGCTTTCAGTACAGTACCACTGCTTTTACCCCAAACACCTTTAATGGAAGTTAAATTTCACAGTGCAGGTTATTTAAATGAGAGGTTTTAAAATTAATTTTCTTCAGTGTGTTTTCTTTGCTTTTCAGCTGCATCCCTCTGTGATAAAATAGGAACTTTTTTCCAGAACAAGTTATTGATTTGGTGGCAGCTTTAAGATTTAGTAACAATGCCTATTACAAAAAAAGAATTCTTACAACATGTATGAAAGAGATGTTCTGAAGAGTAGAGCAGGTCTAATGGTTTAAATCTAGAATAAATGTCTTTAATAGCAGTGGCTGCAAAACCTTGATAAAGTGATATTATCACCATACTGCATAAAATTTCAACACATAAATAAATGTTTAAAAAGTTATTGTTAATTTGAATGAAATAAGGAAAAAAAATATGTTCTACTAACAGGCCTCACTCAAAAATTTACTGCTGCTCAAAGGCAGTTTAACTCAGGTACTAAAATCTAAGTACCATGTACATCTAAGTAAAATAAAGAAGTACATATTTTATTCTAATTTTAATTAAGGGATCTTGTGTACCAGACTAAACAAGTTCCTTCCTCAAGTATAAAGCCAGCCACTTAGACACCGCCATTTAGAGTGCTGGTGGATCCCTATAGTCCAGGAAAACAGCAGATTGAAAGCCGACCTGTGATTGGAAGCTCTCGGGGGACACATCTGGTTAAGAGCTTTTGGGGTCAGGTGAGCTAGACCTTGGCCAGGGTTATTGCGGCTCACTGTGTGACAGGATACTCTGTGGCTGTTTGGGTGCCTGCCAGCTTGCAGGGAGCTACATTAATTCTTAGGTCTGATGTTTTACCTCTTTGGGAAACAGAACTGCTTTACTCAACCAAGGAGTTAGAGGAAGACAAAATAAAGGTGTACTGTAAGTAAAACAGGGAGTGAGTCTTTCTTGTCTCAGACTAACCTGCAAAAAGAGATTATTGATAAACAGGGAACTCAATATAGCAGACTTAAGTCTTTTCAGCTCAAAACATGTATACAGTAGCTAAGGAATGAGCACTTGTGCTTCAATCTAGGAAAGTAGTTGTGAAATTATTCTTCACAGCCTGCAGATGTGGAATACTATTACAGCTTGGCTCCAGATGTATTCATACCCTTGAGACATTTTAACTGAAAGTTGATTTTTGCAAAGGAAAATGTAAGTAAAGATAATTTATTCCATAAATAAATGGAACAATGAATTATTGCTATTGTCAGTATTGGATACATACATTTTAAAAATACACTATGTTTAAATACAGTATATTACTTGGAAATATGTATAATACAAATGCTATAAATGCAATAATGACTTTGGATATCTAGTAATTTTTCAAACTTCTGGAAGATTCCAAAAGATTATGGGTATAAAAGGACCCTGTCCACAGAAGCAACCACAGTCAGCATTTTTCAATCAAAATGAATCTGGAACCAGTTGTAAGCATATTTATGCAAATATTAACATTATTTAAAATTACATTATTTAAAAGATTTGGTCTATAATTATTTCTTATACTGATTGTCCACTGTTTTTTTTCCTGAAAGGTTCTGCAACTTCTAAGTTCATCTTGATAAGGTGAAGAGTTGAAATCATCTTAATAGCATTTTATCGTAATAGATTTGGCACAGGAGATTATTATGCACTTAGGGCAAATTTAATCAGCAGCATTGGTCATTTGCTTGTTTGTATATTTTTCTTCAAGATTTTATCTTTCATATATTTTAAACAATAGTGTGCTATAAAATATAGAATAAAGCAGTTGGCATTGAAAAGATGGGAAAGTGCAATGTCTTTATTATAAACATACCTGTATTAAACACATACTATTGCCTAGCCATTTTAATGTAGTGCAATTTGACTACTTGTACTTGTTAATATTTTATGTCTGGTACAAGGTGCTCTAGCATGTAATAGAACCAGTAGGGTTGCATTCATCAAAGTAAAAAAATACATTAACTATGTTCAATGTAGGCACTTACTGTGAATTATGATGCTAACTCTCTGACGTTGTCTAATTCCTGAGGGCATGGCATTTAAAGCTTCTCTGTAGGTTCTTGAAAATGCGCCACAGTCAATTAAACTGTCCAAGAATTCTAATGAGCAGATCTGCCCTGCTTTGAACTGTAAACATTACACACAGGATGCAGGTTACTTACACACCACTGTTCTTTAGAAATGCCATAATCAAGGAAGGGTCCTGCTCTGTGTGTTTGATCAAATCATCTTCTGTCCGCCTGAATCACTCTCAGTTGGGTGCATCGCTACCCTTCTGGTATGGCCTCATATTGAAATGTAACTTGAAATGCAATTGAAAATAATTAAAAAAATGTTATAACATGAGAATCTTATGACCTTGTGTTTTAACATACACTGTACATCTAAATCCATTTACATGTACTGTATGTACCACATTTTCTGGAAAGTTTAGAGTTCAATGTCTCTGGCAAAAAGTACTGTATTTTACCAAACAACCTCAAGGTTGTCTCTTCTAGGACACTTTTTGACTTTCAGTACCACTCTGAGCCACCAGATATTCATGCATTCCATACAAAAACTTGCCACCATAAAACACTTTGATTACAGGTAATTTAATAGTGTGCACAAAGAAAACAACCAATGAGATTTATTTTCAAATCAAACCAACTAAATTATTTTGGTCATTTATGTTATTGTACTGTATATGTGCTGATCAAAATTTGCTTCAACATTCAAGTTGTTTGGAAAGAAATAAAACTTAAGCAGTGGAATTAGCAGTGTATCTGTTTTTTGGCTACTGTACTATTACTGAAAGGATACTGTGCTTACAAGACCTTGTTACAACACAGGCGACCACAGCTCTCAACTGAGGTTGAATGACAGAGTCCAAATGAAATGGCTGAAGGTGGATGGGGTGGAAGTCTCCAGAGAAAGCTGAGGTGATGCTTGGAGTGAGGAGTATAAAGGCTGGCCTGGAGATAAGCAGATGGAACTGCAGTCTTAAGCAGGCAGAAGCACAGGGATGTGCTTCTGTCTGAGATGCAAACTTCTCAGTTTCAGGGGGTTTTAGGTTTCTTGGCTTTCTGGGTTTCCAGGGTTTTGCTAGCACTTCTTATGGAGCAGTGTTGAACACAGCACTACCACAGGTATCACAATGTCAGAGCACCTTTCCAGTGGCAATTTTGGATTATATAGGATAAATAAAGTGGATGATTAATAAGACAGTTGAGTGCCTGATTGAAAGGGGGATGTGTTTATTGACAGGCAGCCTGAGAGTGTTCTGAGGACTCCACGATAAATGTGATTGCTCACGGGGATGCTGTAGTTTCCCAGGGAAACCACGAGCTGTGACCTACCACTAGCCAAGCAGGAGTGTCAGGGAACCAACAGGTAGAATAGGAGGATCCTCATGCATAACCATGAATTCCACAGAACATGGAGTAGTACAGGGACAATCCAAAACACCAGGGGCTTGGTTAATTGGAGAAGCAATGAGTCCAGTAACCAGGGAAATCCAGGAAAGACAATCTAAAGAGTGTGGTCAAAAAGGCAGAAGCAAAGATTAGGGAACCAGGAGAGCAATCAAAAAGAGTGGAAACACACAAGAGTATACTTAAAGAGGCTTCTCAATAATGAACATGGGCTGGTGCGTGAGGGAACTTTAAATACTGAAGGAAAAGGGACGTGGTTGGATAATTGGTCCGGGAGTGAGAATTTGTTGAATCTGGTGCATGTGGGAATGTGATGGGTTCAATTAGGAATGAGACTATGAAAAAGTGGGTTTGGGAATGTAAAGGTGTTTGCAAGGGAGAGTGTGGGGGCGTGACAAGGATAGAACTTTGTTTAAAATATTATTACTGTGCTTGCTCTCCTTGAAAATATCACTATTGTCTATCAGAACCAAATTATATCAGAGATGTATAGATATGTACAACTTCTCAGAGTGATATACTGTATGTTGAACAGTTTTAGAACGTCTTACTAGTTTTATAAGCTCATTATTTATATTTCAGTTTATTAATGTTTAAGAACCAGAAAAAAATTAATGTCTACACAGCTGCAGAAAAGCTAAATTAAATCATGAAAAAAAGGACTCACATTATAATTAGGAATTGCAGGATTGAAATTAATAATAATTTAGTAAACAAATGTTAGAATTAGCAGCAATCAAAAGCAACATGGAGCTTTTGGGTTATTATTCTGTTCTGAAGTTGGCTACATTACGGTTACCAGAGTAACATGTATTAATAGAAAATCCAGTGGTATTTTTGTTTGGCCTTTGTTGTTACAGGCCCTCCTTGTGTGAGAAGCTTAAATTTTGCATGTTATTCAGACTGCTATTGTTTTCCAAGACTTAACATCTGTGTCAAATAGTTGTCAAAAAGAGGAATTACTATAGCAACTGCAGTGATTGGTAAAAACAAGTGTATACTGTTGTGTCTTTAAATAATTACATTTTCCGTCATCCGTCATAAACTGACTTTACCATTGGCACAACTTCATATGCATACTTCCGTATACGTTTTCTTTTCTTTGTGGAGTAAAGACGTTAAATAGAAAAGTGAAGTGAAATTTATTTGACTACGTAAGTAACAATAGTGTCCAGTCCTAGTCCTAGATAGTCAAAATCCATCCTTGTCTCCATTCTTAAGAACATTTGTTATTGATCAACTTATTTTTCTTATAAGGTCATCAGTGGTGTATCAGTACCTGTTTGGACTGTTACTGATCTTGTAAACCTTGTCTCCAATTCTGATTTACAGTATCCTGGACTCATTTAATAAGTTTTAAATTAGGTTACACTGAATGGGCTAGAGAAAGCGCCTCTCATGCTCTGACACACTTTCTTCAACAGAAACCTGGTTGTGTCGCCTGTGATGGATATCATCGATTGGAAGACTTTTCAATACTACCCCTCAGCTGATCTGCAGAGAGGAGTGTTTGACTGGAAACTGGATTTTCATTGGGAGCCATTGCCAAGGAATATGTTAAAGAAGCAAAAATCCCCTGTTCACCCTGTCAGGTAAACTTAGCACAGTCAAATGTAAAACCAGGTTGGAGAGAAGTGCTTACACATCTAAATTTCTAATGCCATCTTACTGTAGCAGCACAAGACTTTTTAAATCACTGAAAGTTTAGAAATTGAGATCAAAGGATTAATTGTTAACATTTACCTACCTGAGATGCACAAACCTACTGTAGACTTGAAAGCCCTCTACAGGAAGGGGGTGCACCTCTGAACTTGTACCAGATGACCTTATTTAATTGGACATAACAGTGGCTTAATCAGTTAGAAAGCTTTCTAAATTATCCATCCTTTTCCAGCTCATTGATCATTTACCTATGAGACATGCTGGACTTGACACCAGTTATGTGTTTGATATTGTAGGTTAATACTTAAAAATACAGATGATTTAGATATATTTTAGAGTCCATTGAGCTTTACAATGCAGTCACCTGTCCTTAGTACGGGTACAAGTTTTTTAAAAATGATAGTAATAAGTCATCCGATTACATGTGATATTTAAAATGTTTATAAAATTTGCTGCTCATTTAATATAACCTCTGCTGATCTACTTATCACTCTCTCTTATAAAATAGCTAATATCCAAGCAGACTGCAGGTATTCTTTCAAAAGAGGTAATATGCCCTACCCTAACTGCTACAGACCTACAGTATACTGTACCAATACTGTCCCGCGTTTCCTTAAACATAGCCAGTTGTTAACAAGCAGTTAAACTCTCTTGTTTTCATTTTGAGTATGTATTTATTACCCAAGCCTTAATAATTAGCAATGATATTATAATGGCACTTAACAAAAGTAACACGTGCAGATATCTGTACAGCTTTTGACACTGTGAATCACTCAGTTTCTCCCAGGCATGGTTTTAAATCACTTACAGAACTATATACTGTACATTCCCTACTTTTTACTCCACCTGTATTAACAATATTGCTCAAGCAATAGGCATCTTTCATATCCACCTCTACATCAATAATACTGTACTATTGAATACTCATCTGAACCCACATAACGCTGAGTAATGACCAAATTCACCCTACTTGCAATTATATTCATCAGACATTCATCAGCTCTGAGAAACAAATAAGTGTATAAATATATGCTGTTCTAAAATTAATTCATACTTCCTTAATCACTAGTTTTTTTTCCGTTCATCAGCTCTGAGAAACAAATAAGTGAATAAATATATGCTGTTCTAAAATTAATTCATACTTCCTTAATCACTAGTTTTTTTCCAAATATATCATTATTTGAAGTAAGGCATTAGTGCAAAGTCATGAATTATCTAGGCATCTGCTTGGATAGTACTTTAAATTTCAAAATTAATATTAATAAATAACATATATTTATAAAATATTAATACAAAATAGGAATATTTTGAACAATATTCAAGAATATCCAACAATATTCTTTATTGGATAAATAAATCAATGAAAAACAGCAATAACACCCAAACTAACATGCAAAATCTATGTTGTCCCACTCAAATCTCTGTTCAAGCTTTTTGTAATGAGCATAACAATTTGTTTTTGCATACAAACAGTATGAACAGATAATTTAATTAACAATTAATTAATGTACGTTGATCTCCATTACCCTTTTATCATCCTAAATTGACATTAACATATTCAGTGTTCATGAGCAGTCCTTTCTTGTGATACCCATTTTAATTTATATAGTGAATTATGTGTAAACCAGTATTTCAGTTCAGTTTTTTCTTTTAATTTACTGGTTTCACTGTGTTGCAAACAATGCAGTTCCACTTCTATCTACATTAACAATAGCTTAAAATGCTATCCAACACTTGGTGAAAATAAAAGGAAGAATCTTTTACTTGTATTGTGTGTACACTAATATTATGTGAAGTATTTACAGTATAATTTAATATGTTAAACATACAGTTATATATGGAATCAGAAGTTGTGTCTTATAAAAGAAAAAACAAATAAAGTTATAAAGATATTGCACACAGACGTTTTAACACTTTTTTGTGACTTCAGAATCATGTCATATGACATTTCTGTGAGTACAGCGACAGTTTTATGCCACGTATAAAATATTTCTCTCTTTGTTGTATAGGAGTCCTGCTTTAGCAGGTGGAGTTTTGGCCATTGAACGTAACTTTTTCCAGAGGATTGGAGCATATGATCCTGGGATGACCTTACAGGGGGCAGAAAATGTGGAGCTGTCAATTAGGGTAAATGGTTTACAAATATCTTTCCTATACTATATGAAGACCTTTATCATGTTTTGAGCATTATTGAAAGTTTTTATATCAAACATATACCACCTGGGAAAACTAAGATGGCTGCTGGAAGAGGTGTTAGTGGGGCCAGCAGGGGGTGCTCACCTTGAGGTCTGTGTGGGTCCTAATGCCCCAGTATAGTGATGGGGACACCATACTGTAAAAAGGTTCCATCCTTCGGATGAGTTGTAAAACCGAGGTCCTGACTATCTGTGGTCATTAAAAATCCCAGAGTGTTTCTCGAAAAGAGTATGGGTGTTACCCTGACACCCTTACCAAATTTCCCATTGGCCTTTACCAATCATGGCCTACTAATAATCCCCATCTGTGAATTGGCTTTGTCACTCTGTTCTCCTCCCCACTGATATCTGATGTGTGGTGAGTGTACTGGTGCACCATGGCTGCTGTCGCATCATCCAGGTGAAGCACATTGGTGGTGGAGGAGGGGAGGATTTGAGCAAGTGGTTTAGTCAATAAGTGAAATAATTAATTATTATAAGTTATGAATTATTCATAACCCCTAACTTGTAAGTGATTTCTACAAAAATAACCGAGTGGGTGGTGTAATTCTTTGTTCTGTGGTGCATCTTTGGCGAGATAAGATAAGATAAGATCACTTTATTAGCCATATACAATTTCTTGCATTAGGAATTTGTCTTTTCACATACTCCAGCTTGCTCTCCATGAGACACACAGACAAGGAGAGAGAAGCTTGGGGTCAGAGCACAGGGTCAGCCATTGTACAGCATCCCTGCAGCAGATGGGGTTAAGGGCCTCACTCAGGAGCCCAGTGGAGTAGGATTCCTCTGCTAGCTGTGGGATTTGAGCTGGAAACCTTCCAGCAACAGGCACATATCCTTAGCCACAGAGCCACTGCTCCACTCCTCTCCCGAGAGGAGCAATAATCCAGGCACACATGGTTAAACAAATATTTATTACAATGACACAAGACACAATCTACACTACACACAACACAAAATACAACACACAAGTTACTCTATGTACAGTATTTACAAACAAGGGGTCTCAGAGGCCTAACATTCTGCTCTTGCCTGATGCAAGTTTAAAGTCCCAGCACCCTTCGGACTCCTCTCTCTTCTCTGCTTGCCTTCTTCTTCTTGTTTCTCCTTTTCTCTGTCCTCTTAATGTGATCTTATATTGTGTGTTTCTGTACTGCTCCTTGACCATCATTAACCCACAACTTATGTAGGTCTACTAAGGTAAACATTACAATTGTTTCTGCTCAAGAGACCCCAGACCTCAACAGACATCCTTACTGCTTTGAAGTTGGAAGTGTTTACTCTTCCAAGTGTCACAAACCTTATCTAGGATCCAAGAGACACTTGTCCAATATATTGTTACCTAAAGCTGTAACAATATATTGGATGTTTTTATATTGGATGACCCCTAATCTCTGGTTCAATCACTTCACTTATAAAGCTCTCAATTACTCATACAGCGGCCATTTTTAAATGAAAGCCCTGTTCTCTCACTCCAAAACAGGCTATTTCTTTAAATTTGTTTTTCAAACTTCCAGTTCCCTCCAGAATTGTTGCTTTTAACAGCCCCTTCCAGGGTACTTTTAGTATTGTGTAACCCAATTGTAAGTATGAGTTACGAGAAGCAGAAATGCACTTTTCTCTATTCTTGCTTCTGGCAGAAGATTTAGGAATATAAAAGGCTGGATTTCTGGGCTAAAAGAAAGCTTCTACCCCACAACCATAAGACTCCTAAACTCCACCTCTTAAATTTTCATACCCCCACTTACACCCCTCTGTGTTACACTGAACTAAAAATACTGCCACTGCTGAATTTGGCATACAGCTTATATATCTAAATACTGGTCAAAATTATTGCTTCTACCCTGTTTCTGTCTCCAAGAATTGTGTTGTAATTTGTTATGTCATTTTCTATGTAAATGTTAAATTATTTTTATTAAATCTGTTTTGTCATTTGTCATGTGAGGAAAACATGCAAGTAAGCATTTCATGTACTCAGGTACATACTGTAAGACAATAAACTTGAACTATAAATTATAAATGCACAACCCAGTTCCCTCCAGAATTGTTGTTTTAAATCCTTCCTTTGTGGGGCACATTCACATTTAACAATCGCATAGGAAGATGCAGCTTGCAGCCTCTCATACTCTAGCATTTACCACAGCAGCAATCCTGATATAAAAACACCTGCTGCCCTCAGACAGCGTAACTGTTTCAATCACAGTACAGAGCCTGCTGCTCACCCACAAACACATACATGTCTGCATTTTCTCTGCTTCAGCTTGGCCACTTTCTCTACAATGCTTCATCTTGTTAAGAGGATATGGAAAACACACATGCCATCACCATGCTCACTGTGCTCGGCCAGTTCTTTTGCATTTCCCATGTGCTGGATGAATTACTGTACATATAGATTACATACACTACATAACATGGGAGCTATGGTCTTGCTCCTTGACCAGTCTGAGTGTAGGTCAGACTGACTTCCGAGTTGTCTTCTGTTCTTCTTTGGAAGTATGAAATTGGAAATTATAAGACAATCCAAAGCTGCTGCTCGTTAGCTTTCAAAGATTTTACAGCTGTACTAGCTTAGCAACAGATGCCTCTCTAAGGAGAGCTCTACCTTACTGACAAGAAGAAGGGAAATTCTTCATCAGAGGAGCAGGACACAGTCTTGTGCAGATTCAGTTTTATTGAGCCTCAATAAGTACAACAACGCCCGCTGGGCCTTCCCCTGCAGAACAAACAAACTGCAAGAGTTTCCCAGTTTTTCTATACAGTACAGACTGAGAGACAAAGTTACTACAGTACTTCACACTTTAACATGTGACAGGAGTTGGCTTTACCCTTTAAGTGTTTTCCTTGTTTATGGTTTCCTATGTTTATTTTCCTCCTTTAACACTTGCAGCAGGGCATTCGTTGTTGCAGCTGTTTGGTACAAGTCACCTTTGTTTGCTCTAACAAATATTTTCAGATGGCCTAAGTTTACAAATCTCAGCAACCACTCTAATAACTTCTGCAATATAGTTCAGTACTAATATGTTAAAAGAAAATACAGAAACCTTAACAAACAAGACAAATATCTTGATCCCTTTTTAATTCCTCCGTACATCTGTGGATATTTGTCTGTCATGTGAATGTTTTAGCGGGACCTGTAGTGCTATTTAAAATAATTTCATAGATGAATTTATTTTAAATTTATTGGATTTATTTTAATTTAATTTTAACTCATGATGTACATTGTCGTGCAAACGTATTCAGATACTTTAAGTGTTTTCACATTGTTGCTTTAAAGCTTAGTCATGAAATTTTAAAGTAACATAATATTTGTTATAGTGTATACTATACAAAACCTGCTCCGCATAGTCCATGAAAAAAACATAAACTGATAATTAATATGAGAGAAAAAGTAAAAAGACATTTGGGTCTAAGTACAAACAGTTACATCTCACCCAATATATAGCATCAGTCAACACCATTCCTACTGTCAAGCATGGTAGTGTCAGGGTTATGTAGTAGTGTTTCTCATCAACAGCAACTGGGAAGCTATGTCATGGTTGCAAATTGTAGTAGAAAACCTGCTTCAGACCAAAAACAGTGACAAAACTTGACCTTTCAGCAGAAATTATCTAAAGCAGCTGTGGCTTAAGAAAAAGAATATGAAAGTCCATGAGTGGCCTAATCAGAGTCCTGACCTGAATTCTATTGAGAATTTGTGGTAAGCCTTTAAGACCACAAGTGCTGTCATTAAGTGATCCTCATGCAACTCAAGCTTGTGCAAAAATAAGAAAGTTGGTAGAGACTTACCTAAAAAGACTTGCCGATGTACTGTAAGTGCTGCCAAAGGTGCTTTCAGCAAATATTTAACACTGAATATTTATGAAATCAACATATTTTATTTTTTTCTATTTAGCTGACATTTACTAACATCTTAATTTTATAAGTCTTAAGTTTCAGTCTTCATTTTAATAAAATATGAAGTTTAAAAAATGCATGCATCATTTTATGTTTCCACAAAATAGGACACTTTTCAAAGGTACTATGTATTAGGGCTGTTTTTTGTGTACATGTGGATGTGTGTGTGCCTTCCATAATATCCAGTGCATCATGCTGAAAAATCTCATTAGTCTATAAATTGTGAAGCCCTGTGAACTATTCTTCAACACATCTATGCCCTCCAAGAGAAACCAGTCACCCTCTTGAAATACTGATTAGAGACTAGAAGCTCGTAGTGATGATAAAACCTCTGGTGAGTTTAAGCAACCTTTGGCATGCAACAGTGTAGATACAGAGTAATATAGACTTTAATTATGATATAAACCTGGTGACGAACTCTGGGATTGATCTTAAAGTAAAGGTTCAAGTTTGATAAGCACTGCAAAAGCTATGGGGCACACTGACAGCTCTAAGAAAACAAAGATAATGCTGTTACTTACACAGGATCCTGACACCATCACCTGATCAAAGCCCCAGGTTGTTTCCCTTGCTTGGAGCAAATCAAGGTAGAGGACTTTTTGTATTTTTTAGGCTAATGATTTTGCAAGTGGAAGTAGGTATCTAGTTGTCTAGAGCATTCCTACATACAACTCCATCCTGCAGTATCGGTATGGAATCAAGATAAAGATCAAGCCATATAGTACATACTGTATGTGATGATTTTGCCAGCCTTTACACATGCAATAGAAAATGTAGCTCTGTGAGTTAACCAAATAAATGGCAAGAAAGGGTATTGTCTTCAACAACACGGCTAGGTAAATTGTTCCATATTCCTACAACACATTTGTGTGTACATACATATAATGATTTTCAAGACACTGGGTGGGGAAATAAAATAATCTGAAAATAAATGTAACTCGCATAATGGCCTGCAATTCAGATTATATAATTTTATTTGTATCAAACCCAGAAGAAAGACAATTATGAGCTGAGGAATTTCCATACTTGACGTTTGCATAAAGCATTTCTAAGAATGAGCTACAATGATATTTAACAATTATATTATTTTCAAGGAAAAAGCATCCCACTAAACAAATCAATATTATTTGCATTTGGTTCACTTTCTCTTACCAACAGAAATAAAAAGATTGACAAAAATTAAATGGAATGCTTTTGGAATATTAAATGTAATTTGAAAGGAGAAAATTAATACCCATTTGTATCTTGAAAAGGATTCAACTAATGTGTATTAAGATTGATTTGAAACCTGGACTCTGTCACGATTGTAGTCCCTCGCCCTTAAGGGCGCTCCTGCCCTTTCACTTCAGACTTGATTCTGTGCACCTGTCCCCTGTTCCCAGTCCACCTTAAAAGCCAGGCAACCTGGAAGCGCCTGGTCCCGTTAAGGTTTTATTCTCTGTTCCCATTCCCTTTCGCCAGTTCCGACCCAGTTCCAGTTTTTATCTTGTCTGTTCTTGGATAGACCCCCCTGCTTTGGACTTTGCTCGTGTTTGGATTCCCCCTTTCGATTTCTACTGGATTGTTTGCCCTGGACTCACCTCCTGGACACCTGCACACTTTGGACATGCCCCCCTGTTTTCATCCCCGTATTCCTGCATGACTTTTTCCTACTGTTTCCTCACCCCATCTTGGATTGTGTTGTCCACATAGGGTCTGGAAAGAACTCTTTCGTTACAGACTTCTAAAATAACAACAACCCAAAGCATGTATTAAAGAAGTATATATTGTCTTCTGTGACTGAAATGATAATGGGCCTGACATAGCAAGACATAGGGATCATTGTTGGACTAAGGAAAAAATTAAGTGTTTTCCAAGAGACCAAAAATAACTAAAAAAGATTTCAACAAGCGGTAAAGGGTCACATGCTGGAAGCCTTCCTTCAAAGAATAGATTAAGATATTCTAGAACATTGAAATGCAACTTTTAATATATGTTAGTACAAACAGGACTTAATGATAAGATAAGATCACTTTATTGGCCATACACAATTTCTTGCATTAGGAATTTGTCTTTTCACATACCCCAGCTTGCTCTCCATGAGACACACAGACAAGGAGAGAAGCTTGGGATCAGAACACAGGATCAGCCATTTATACAGCACCCATGAAGCAGTGGGGGTTAAGGGCCTTACTCAGGAGCCCAACAGAGTAGGAGTCCTCTGTCAGCTGTGGGATTTGAACTGGCAACCTTCCAGCCACAGGCACAGATCCTTAGCCACAGAGCCATCTCCTTGTCAAAAACATTTAACATTTCATTGAGAAAATTACAAAACACATAGAGGAAAAACATTTCACTGTACAGTAATTCAGATGAAGATATAGAGAGAGGCACGGGGGCATTTTTACAATGCCAAATTTCCTCAATTATGAGAAAGAAACTTCAAAGCCTTGTGCAATATTGTAGTACAATGAAGTGTAGGCAAGTTCCAGTACAGTGTTTTATCATGTCTGCTACTTTCAGAATTACATACTGTATGTCTTCCTTAGACAGGTGGCCTTACGAAGGTCGACATAATACTCTACCCTCCCCCACAGGTGTGGATGTGTGGGGGTTCCATGGAGATCCTTCCCTGTTCCCGAATTGGACATTTGGACCGCAGCCACATTCCATTCTCACTTTCTGATGAGCATGCTGTTGAGAGCAACAAAATTCGGGTGGCTGAGACCTGGATGGACTCTTATAAAAAGATCTTTTTCAATCGGGATGTTGTTGCATATTTTATAAAAAAGGTGAGAAGCAAAATCACATAGAACCTGTGTGAATGGAATATTTCTCAATTGTTACAAAGATAAAGTATGTTTTTATTTTGTTATTCACTAGGCAGAGAATTTTAATTGTACAGAAAGACTGCAGCTACGCAAAAGACTTGGGTGCAAGAATTTTCACTCGTTTCTGTCAGATGTCCATCCCGAGCTGTACCTACCACAAGACAGACCAGGATATTCAGGAGAGGCAAGACATGGTTCTCCAATGCGGTTCAAATTGCATTGTGTAGATCTTGATTTTTCAAACTTAGCAACAGCAGGAAAAGGTGCTTTTTTCACATGTAGGCTGAGCTACTGATCCACATTATATTACGCTTGCATTGACATTTTCTGATGTCAAAAGATGAATTTCTCAATTGAAGGTTGAGATGGAGAAACCCATTTCCATTTCCTCATTCATCCTGTATAGCCATAGAAGAAGCCACTGTGAGTCAAGGTGTAAAGACACAATTAGCAAACTGGAAGGGTATGTAGTATATATTTTTTTTTCTAGAACATACAGTATATTTCACAGTCTGCACAGAAACTGAATTAATCTTACGATAAAAGATTAATCCAGTTTCTATGAATCTGTTTCAAGCTCATTGCATTGCTAATTAAGGTATTATTCCTATGCCTTATTATTGCCTTATATAATAATAATGCCTTATTATTAAGGCATTAAAACAAAATACAGTACAAAAAAGGGAAACCACTTTTTAGAATCCATGGAGCTTGGTTTACTAAATGGCTGCCCTTCACCAAGTGGGTTAAACCAAACCTTATTATCCATAATACTGAATAAACTTTCACAGAACGTCTGATTCTTAGATGTTGTTATTTGTGAAATTGTGGTAATCTGCACACAGAAATGCACATACTGTAAATGGAAATCACCACTTATGATTCCACTCCCTGCCAAATACTAATTCAATGCATGGAACAGGATTATCAAGACAATACTTCATTGCATTAGAAATGACCACTGCTGACTCATAGTAGATGAAAGACATACCACATGATAGTGACAAGGATGAAAATACTGTTCAGGGAGAGGCCTGAATTATATAACCAAAGATTTAGCGTGTATGAAAAGATTGCCTTAATATTGTTTGAAATTTATAATCTAGAATTTTTTTATTTCTGTTGTTATTTTATGTACTCTTCAAAGTGGGAACCTTTAAGAACCTGTTTCTTTCACTTTGTTTATGTCAGCTTTAAATGTTGTTTAACGTCTCTTTTTTATCCTGACTGTTAACTAAAGGAAGGACTTATATAATCATATTGCACTTTTGGAAGATTTCCAACACAATGAGCATGCACTATAAAATAAGTAAAGAACAACAATATGATGTTGGAACCTTTAAAAAATTAACAAATGAATACATAATGCAGTTATGAACACTGTTTCATATTTTCATACCGAGTTCTTTCTCTCCCTCCTTCCTTTGCCTATACCTGGCATACCAAGACTATGAATATAGAGTTTTTTATAGTTGGATTAGGTTGCGTGCGGCACGGTGAAGCAGTGATTAGCCTTGCTGCTTTGCAGTGCATAGCTAACCTGGGGCTCCAGGTTTAGTTCCTAGGGGTGTTATTTGCATGATTCTGCATGGTCTCCCTATGTTTGCATGGCTTTCCACTGAGTGTTCCTGTTTCCTCCCACTATCCAAAGACACACTGATAGTTTAATTGGCTTCTGGGAAAGTCTGACCTGGTGTGAGTGTGTGCATGTTTGTGTCTTTGTGCATGCAGAATAGTCAGTGGCCAAATTCATATATCTGTGTGAAAAGAGTAATGTTAATAGGAAATCATAAGTGATGAACAGTCCTAAATGGTTTGTATAGGAATAATACATTTCCTTAAACTAATTAGTAAATTAGGCCTAATCATGTTTATATGATACTGTATATAGCGGTGTGATTAGTTACTGTAGTAGCCCTAAAACAATGTTTGATATGAAAACAAAGTAATGTTTTGACTGCAGTGTTAATATTTTTTATAAACCTGTATATTTTAAGCTGTACAATGTTGGCACTGGCTATTGTGCAGATTACAAGAATACGTTGGATGCCATAGGAAAGCCTGTGATGATCTCACCCTGCAGTGGTAATGGCAAACAGGTACAGTAAATCACATTCAGTATCCTACATGACCACTCTCACTTAACCTGCCACCATTTATTTTACTAATAACCTCTGATGTGATGTGGAAAACGTAGAGAGAATGATTCAATAGATTCATAATGGATCGGTTTTCTTGTTAATGTTTGGTCCCAATTTTGACACATAATTTAAGATTTTTGGCAGTGACATTGTTATTGTTCTTACTTAATCAAGTGTTAAACAGCTGTCACAGTCCATTGTGTTTGTTGGTCTCTGCAGAAGTGAATTCTAAAGCACATTTGAGGCACTATGACGATTAAAAACAACTCCCAGATATGGCATTGAATATTAGAAAGGTCAGAACTGCCTCTTTCTCCCTGCAGCACTGCGAGTACAACACTCAGAGAGAAGTCCGCTGTGGCTCAGCAGGACAGCTGTGTTTTGATGTCAGAAAGGAGCAGGTTATCCTGTCTGACTGCTCTTTAAAAGAAGACATCCACTCTAGGCAGCTGTGGAACATAATAGAGGTAAGCAGATAAAAAATAGGAATGTAAAACAATATTTCATGCCAAATTAGATTTGAATTATACATTTGTTGTATATAACTTTTTCTGTTTCAGGACACCATTAAATCTATGCATTTTCCTTCAAGAGTAATATAATCAAAATTAGTGTTCTGAAGCTAGTACAGTACATTAAATTTGGTTTGCCCTAAACTCTACTGCCACCTTGTGGCTAATTTGTTCTTAATCTGATATTTCAACAAATTAGATCTTCCCATAGGTTGCTGGCAAATGACTTTTTTATAAACTATTTAACTTCTTTTTGTTAATATTTAGGAATATTTAGGAAGATGTTTTTTTTATTTTTAGTTTCTCCAGACAAAAGGTGTTCAAAAATTCCAAGACAGCTTGAACAACATAGCTTTCAGGTGGAGTGGTGGCTCTGTGGCTAAGGATTTGCACCTGTGGCTGGAAAGTTGGTGGTTCAAATCCT